CCAGACACGCTGGCAGTGGGACAGGAGCAAAGGGAGAGGCTCCCTGCAGAGCTGAGCTCTCCCTCAGCAAACCTGTGGGAGAGGGGGGGATGCTGTGGCTCAGAAGGTGTCCCTGGGCTTGCCTCCACAGATTGAAGAGGTCAACCGCCAGGTCACCTCCAGCAGCCAGGACATGCAGACCAGCAGCCACCAGCTGACAGAGCTGCGGCGCGAGATGCAGAACCTGGAGATCGAGCTGCAGGCGCAGCTCAGCACGGTACGTGGGCAGGGCCCGGCCCCTTAGGCTGGGCATGGAGCACCAGAGCTCCTCTTCCTCAACTCCTGTCCTTGCTCTTGCAGAAAAACTCTCTGGAAAACTCCCTGGCAGAAACGGAGACTCGCTACGGCTGCCTGCTGCAACAGATCCAGGGGCAGATCAACTCGGTGGAGGAGGAGCTGGCCAGCATCCGCTGTGAGATGGAGGGCCAGAGCCAGGAGTACAAGATGCTCCTGGGCATCAAGACCCGCCTGGAGCAGGAGATCCAGCAGTACCGGGCGCTGCTGCAGGAGGGGCAGCAGGATCTTGTGTATGTATTCCATATTTTAGCAAGGGAATAGCAAGAAATCCTTGTGGTTCCAACACAGACTTTTTGTCCCTGGAGCTACATCAATCATCTTTTTTGACTGAATATCCAGTGTTAGTGGGCTTTTGTGTATTAATTACTCTCTTTTTGCAGTGCCTCCCAAGCTGCTTTCCAAGGAGGTGGAAAATCCTCCCAGTCATATTCTGTTTCCCACTCCCATTCCCAGTGTGGGGACATGGCAGGTAAGACAACACTTTGTAAGGATGTGGTTGTTAGTGGGTTACATCTGCCCCAGTAGCTGCAATGTAGTTTGTAAAAAAAAAGATCTGTAGTTTGGGCCGGGCAAGATTCCCAGGTCAATTAGCCTGGGAGTGAGAGAACCTCATTACTCTGTTCCGGAGAAATCAGGCATTAAAATACAGCAAGTTTTGCCCTTCCCTCTCCCTAATTATAAAATACAGACCATAAACTTTATGGAATGGGTGTTATGCTTTATTGCTCATCAGAAGAATATAAAAAACACAGTTGTGAGGCAGCGCTCAGGGCACTGCTGGGCGCGGAGCCTCTGCCCCTGTCCTGCCAACACAGTGTCAGGTGTGAGGATTCCCTGCATGGGAACGCTCAGACTTCCCCTCAAGGAGGTGATTTGTTCACACAGGGCAGTCAAGAGTGTGTTAGAGCAGCGGTGGTGACCTCGGCAGCCTCCAGCGAGAGATGGACCCCGGCACTTGTGCAGCGCTGCCGGGGCAGCAGGAAGGGCTCGGGAAGGGAGCCTGGTCATCCTCCCCAGCCCCTTGTCCTCAGCCCTGCAGTGCTTGGCTTACTCAGCTTGTCTGTGGCAACTGCTTCTTTGTTTAAGGGCTCACACTCTGCTGGAAACTCTTCCCTAATAAACCTTTACTTCTGCAACGCAAATCACAAACCACGTGTCCGAGAAAAGTGAATTCAACCAGCCCGGGACGGGTCCTTGCCCCAGCTCGCCCCTCAAGCGCGGGCTGTGCGGTGGTTCTGGGTGGCCCAGTCCTGGGACAATCCATTTTGCACTAAGGAAATGGGTTAAAACCTCCAAGCAAAGGGAAATGTTGGGAATTGTGAGCGTGGCTGTGTGAGGTGTGACAGAGTCCAGGCTCTGCCTGAGGGAACTGCCGGGTGACACTGCCAGAACTCTCTGCTCAAAAGCAGGAGGTAGAAGGTTGAAAAATCAGTTCTTGACACAATTCTCTTTCCTGAGACATTAAAAACCACTTTCCATTTTGTTTCCTGATGGTCACTAAGGGATTGCTTTCTGGCACCTTGCCTTGCCATTTGTACAAAAGAGAATGAATGATGTGAGTGAAAGGGGGAAGAAAATACCAATGCTGGGTAATTCTCAGAAGATTAATTGTCAATGTACTAAACTGTGTTCAGTGGTACTATTGTGACTCAGATATCTGAGCCTATCAGTCTCATCCCAGATGGAGTCTTGTGGGAAAGTGTGACTTGGGAGAGGTTGTTCCAGTATGTAGGGGCTTCCTCAGAAGTATTTCTACACCTCTGACTGTGCAGACAATCCCATATTGCTGACTTCTGTTGGGAAATACAGACAACAATGCAATAGGCCTGTTTCCCTTAGTGTCATGCACCAAAAACATTCCCATGTTTTATGATAGAAATTTCAATTTAAATACTGATTTAATACCAAGAACCCAATTTCTGTCAGTACACGCAGCTGGCTGATATTCTGCCTTCAGAGCAATTTTATTCACTGAAGGTATTTTCTATATTTTACTGTTTGAAAAGCTAAAATATGCAACAGAAGTAGAGATGAGGCAGCAATACTAAATTAAGGTAGCTCTTTTGCAGGCATTTTGCTTTCTGAAGAGCACAGTGAAGTCTCAGCTGTACTTACTGCACCAAAGCCAGTGAAGGACACATCTCTTTTGAGGCAGGATCATGTAGCCATGAACTACAGTTAATGCACAGAATTAAGCACTGAAAGTTTAGGCATACAGGTAAGCTCTTGTGTGACATGGGAGTCACATAAGAGAGAAACCAGCCCAGAATGTGGGGCTGTGGAAACCATTCAGCTCTGGATGAACTGAAGAAACACACAGGTGGGTGACGCTGCAGGGAGAGGGGTGATGGATGAGGAAAGCACAGATGGAGTTCCTGATGAAACTCCTGGGAGTAGCACTCTTCTTACCAAGACCACACTTGACTCATTTGCTGTAAAACAATTAATTACCAGTAATTGTTTCTGAGGTTGTCCTCTCCCTCTCGTGTGACTGAGGACATACATCCAGTAATGCATCACAGTTTCTGGGGAAACCACAGACTGCTTTTAGTTCTTTTGCCAGTTCAGAGTATCTGCTTGTGGCTCCACATCCAACTTCACCAATGAGTAAACAGCACCGGGAAAGGACTCACAGCACTCCTACTTCAAACAAATTCTGACTTACAGAGGTCCACAGGGTGCACTGTGAGCCAAAGGCCAGGGGAAGATGTGATTTCAGAGCTCTCACAGCCCCTCTGGGGGGCTGAGGAGCCTCAAAACCTTCTACAGCAGAACGTCCGAGCTGCCTTTGTCATTGCAGGGACTGTGGGAGGACCTGAACAGCCCCAGCTCTTCTGGCTGGTGAAGTAAATCAGTCTGTCCAAACTGACTCACAACAGCCAAGAGCCGTGTCCACAGGATGGTGGCCAGAAATGCACACGGAGACAGGGAAATGCCCCCGAGTTACAGAGCAGAAGGTCTGAAATTTAAGTGTAAATGGGATGCAGCTAGAGCAGTAAGGATGGTTAGATCAGCTGTTTGAAATAAGAAGAGAGGGTCAGAGAGACACAGAACAGGCTCCTGGTGATGGTATGAAATTACAGCATTGGGAAATGTCAGAAATTGTTGGGTCGGGTGCTGTGATGCAATGATGCCGAGAAGGAGACACAAAGTCAACACCTCTGGCACTAGGGCCAGTCAGCAATAAACATCTCATAGGGGAGAATAAAAGTGCATTTCAACAATCTAATGAGGAAAATATGACTAAGGAATCACACCCTGTGAGAAAATAATTTTTATTTTTTTGATAGTGATGACTCAGCCTCAATAACATATGCAAAGCAACTGGTTCTGACGTGCAGGTAATTAGAGAGCTACCAATAAAACAACAATCATAATTTTGCAGATCAAAGGATTACATTATCTGTGATCCGGGGGTGGTGGTGTGTCAGGAAGGAGGGTGAATGGCTTTCCATGATTCTTCAGTTGGCCATGACACGCGTTAGTAACTTTTATGGATCTCATAAACGTTGTGGTGGGAGAGAAAATGCTGCTGGAGCCGCAAGTGCAGGGTGTGTGTAACACTGTAAATGGAGAAACCAACAGCGAAACAAGCGGGTAAACTGTAACTTCCAAAGAGAGAGGAATTCCTATCAAAGTTGAACTCTCACATAAAGAGGTCCCATTGTGTTTCAGGCTTAAAATTTGTGTTTTCCAGAAGTTATTTAAAGGCAGAATTTCCTTTCCAAAGAAGGGTTCATCACATCCTGCCCCCCCTTACATGAACAGTGCAGTTGTGCAGGACTGAGGGACAAACAATTGAAGGTAAGGGAGTCTAGAGGGTCATCACAGCTGCCTCTGTTACACCAGCATAAAATGCCCACCATCAGCTCACCAAGGTCAATCTTGAAACTCTTTCTCTCTTCCACCCAAAGCTCCTGCAATGGAAGCACTCCCAGACCCTTCTGCCTTCCGTAGGTAAAAAGCTCCTCTTTAGTTTCCAGGCCAAACTCACTCAAATCCAGACTGTGCCCTTTCCTACGTGGACAACAGGACTGTCCTGGATTTTGAACAGCCCCAGTGCCTCCTTCCTCAAGAGTTGGCTGATAACCATCTCAGCCTCCACCTGGCCAGGATGAATCCTTTCCTGTCCCAGCACACAAAGCCCTATAGGTTTTACACACCTATTGAATGCCCATCACTGTGCATGAGACAGGAAGATTTCCCAGAAGTGACACCACCCAAATCTGGTGAGAACATAAAGAGAGCATTGCTGCTTTTAAGGTCACCCTGCTGTGATTTATCACTGAGTACCCTGAGAGACAATACCCATCCTGAGCTCTCCTTTGGAGGGAAGGACCAAAATTCTTGGAGATTCTGTTTCCAGAACTGGCAGTTCAACAGGCAAACTTGAACCAGCCTCATGCACAAGGGTGCCAGAGTTCATTCTTCTCCAACTCTGGCATGAAAGCAGAGTAACCAGGTGGTGCTTTCACCACCTGCTTTCAGGACAAAAAAAATTACTCCAAAGAACAAAGAACAACTATTAAAATGAGTCTCACTCATTAAGTAGCCAGCAACAATCTATCTGCAGCAAAATCTAACTCACAGCCACCCACCCGAAATTGCAGTGCAGGCTTGGTGTGAATCAGCATGCAAACACAGGACCTGGGGGGAGGGCTGACCCAAGCCCCAAAAGAAATTCCCCTTAGCACATCACTTTCAGCATGAGCACTGGGGCTGGCAGAGCCCATGGGAAGCTGGACTGCCTGGCAGGTGACACCCACCCAGCCGGGTATAAAGAGCCACCGGCGAGGACGCCCCGCTGCACTCGCATTCCCTATCTTGTTGCTGTGCAGAGCTTTGCTTCGGGGGCTGGATACCTGATCCCTTCCACCATGAGCTGCACCATCAAGAGAACCTCCAGCACCTCGTACCGGAGTGGAGGAGGAGGAGGAGGAGGTGGCTGTGGAGGCAGCAGCGGCCGGAGCTCCTCCGTGTCGTGCCGGCGCTACGCCTCCTCCGTCATCGGCGGGGGCAGCTACGGCGGGGCAGCCTGCGGGGGCTACGGGGGCGGCCTGAGCGCCGCCAGCCTGGCTGGGGGCTACGGGGGGGGCTTCTCCTCGGGGGGTTTCATCTCAGGGGGGGACCTGCTGCTGGGCGGCAATGAGAAGATCACCATGCAGAACCTCAACGACCGCCTGGCGGCTTACCTGGACAAGGTGCGAAGGCTGGAGGAGGAGAACGCCCAGCTGGAGCACCACATCAGGGAGTGGTACAGGAAACAAGCTCCCAGCGTTTCCAAGGACTACAGCTCCTACTACCAGGCCATTGAGCAGCTCCAGAATCAGGTACGATTGCCCTAGCTAATGTAATTCCATTGCCCACATGCTCTTCCCTCCTGCTCCCTCCTTCCTCTTTCCTCTGTCCTCCTCCCTCTTTCCCCTGGCCCTGGGCTCTACCCCCTGCGGGATGGCCATGCTGGTGGTACTGCAGACACAAACCTGCTGAGCTGCACCTCCCATCCCTTGGGGGAGCAAACCCCCAGAGTACCCACGGGCAAAAGGGACGTGCTCCAGGGGCACAGCCCAAGGCACCAGGGAGCTCCAGCAGCCACAGACGCGCTGGCACACGGAAATCCCACCTTGTGCAGGTGTCTCCAAACCAGCTGTGGGTGGTTTCCAGTGCTTCCCTCTGCTCCCACCCAGTTCAGCTGGATGGAGTGCAAAGCCAAAGCACCTGGATGGCAGGATCTGAGCTCTCTTTTTCCCTGCACACACAGGTGGAGGGCCAAGGTCTTCCCTCACCATCATCTTTTTTCATGATGAGACGAGTTACAGCATCAGGGGCAAAGCTCACACTGCCTCCTACACCCAGAGTGCAGAACCCACTCGGTGTGGGTGATCTCCCAGCATAACTGTTCTTCTGGTCTTTCCCCCATCAATGCACTCTCTCATCAAAATGTTTGCAAAGCCCAAATCTTCACACACTAGTCCCTGCCCTATAGCATTTCAACAATGTTCTGTGGCCTCTGCACTGCTGTAGGAAACAATTCCAAGACCCACAACAACACCCTGCCAAAGCTTTGGGTCTCCTTTGTTCTTGTCCTCAAAATCTAGAACACAGAAAGATTTCTCTCCACCCTTCTCTCCTGCAGATCATTTCTGCCACTGTGGACAATAACAAAATGATCCTGGACATCGACAACAGCAAGATGACTGCCGATGACTTCCGAATGAAGTGAGTACCTCCCTGTCAACCCTGACTCTCTCATGCCATGAATTTTATGAGACTCATGAATGGAGGTGATGATGCCCTGTCCAAAGTGGTATGATGGAGCATTGCAGTGAAATGGATGTGTAATGCTTCTCTTTCCTTCGGTACAGGTATGAGAATGAGCTGGTCGTCCGTCAGACCGTGGAGGCTGACATCAATGGCTTGAGAAACATCCTGGATGATCTCACTAGGACTCGGTCTTCCCTGGAATCTGAGCTGGAGACCTTGAAGGACGAGCTGATTGCCCTGAAGAGAAACCATGAGGAGGTATGATCCAATGACAAACAGCACAGCCAAGGCACGATCCTTGGATTCTTTCAGGTTCCCACTGTCACACATGGACTCCCTTAGGCCAAGGGATTATCTCTCTTTGTACCTTGATACTGCTTTGCCCACAGTCCCCAGCACAAGAAATGACCTGTGTGTGCTCTTGTGTGTCTCTGTCTGGGCTCCCTGCAGGAAATGAGGCAGCTCCAGGCTCAGACCGGTGGTGATGTGAGTGTGGAGGTCAACGCTGCCCCTGGAGAGGACTTGACAAAGATCCTGAATGACCTGAGAACTGAATACGAGCAGATCATCGAGAAGAACCGCAGGGAGGTGGAGCAGTGGTATGAAGTCAAGGTAGGTAGCAAAGCCCAGAGTGGAGTCCCCTTGAGTGGCACAGCCCAGACACGCTGGCAGTGGGACAGGAGCAAAGGGAGAGGCTCCCTGCAGAGCTGAGCTCTCCCTCAGCAAACCTGTGGGAGAGGGGGGGATGCTGTGGCTCAGAAGGTGTCCCTGGGCTTGCCTCCACAGATCGAAGAGGTCAACCGCCAGGTCACCTCCAGCAGCCAGGACATGCAGACCAGCAGCCACCAGCTGACGGAGCTGCGGCGCGAGATGCAGAACCTGGAGATCGAGCTGCAGGCGCAGCTCAGCACGGTACGTGGGCAGGGCCCGGCCCCTTGAGGCTGGGCACGGAGCACCAGAGCTCCTCTTCCTCAACTCCTGTCCTTGCTCTTGCAGAAAAACTCTCTGGAAAACTCCCTGGCAGAAACGGAGACTCGCTACGGCTGCCTGCTGCAACAGATCCAGGGGCAGATCAACTCGGTGGAGGAGGAGCTGGCCAGCATCCGCTGTGAGATGGAGGGCCAGAGCCAGGAGTACAAGATGCTCCTGGGCATCAAGACCCGCCTGGAGCAGGAGATCCAGCAGTACCGGGCGCTGCTGCAGGAGGGGCAGCAGGATCTTGTGTATGTACTCTGTTTGCAGATAAGGGCACAAAGTCTGTCACAGGCTTTTCTCTCTCAGCACTGGTGGAAGACAGAGCAGAATTTTTTACTTGTCTGTAGCTGAAATCTAAATTCAGCAGCTTCTTTCTCACAGCACCTGCATTGAAATGTATCTATCAGAAACTTCACAAGCACATCAAAGACTGAGGGAAACACAATGCAGATTGTTACTGACAGGTTTGGAGTTAATCAGTTCCTCTTGACCTGTTTGTGCGGAGTGAATTCTGTGAGAGGAATCACCATGCCAAACTAAGCTGTAATGAAGCTCCTGCTGTCAGCAGATAAGCAAGCCCAGCTGGACTGGGACAGTACAAGAATTATGCTGCAAGAGAGTTTTGCTTTTTCTGCTTCTATAATTTTCTAGGAAAATACAGTTGGAGGGAAGGAATTAAAAATATATATCTAAAGAATCATTTGTGGGGTCCAGGAAAAGCTGAGCTGTTACACACACTGCATATGATGTCAGTATGTGTTTATTTTGCGCTTTGTTAAAACTACTTTCCTTTCACAGATCATCTCAAGGAGGGGGAATATCCTCCCATTCTTGTTCTTCTACTTCCTACTCTCATGGTCAATCCAGTGACAAGGCAGGTAAGAAACATCTTCCAAAGAGGATCCAAACCTATCTTGTTCCCATGGCTTTCACATTTTGTGTTTGATCCCTTTTCCTGTTAATACCAACCTTGTCCTATGACTTCCACATCTGCAATTGCAGCAGGGATTAAACCATTCACAATCAAAGCTCTTCATTTCAATGTGGTTTGGCTCCAGCTCCAGACACAGGCTAATCTCCTTTCCCATGCTTTTGCTCACAAATGGGTATTTAAATAGTGCATGAATAGAAATATCAGTGCTGCAAGAGGCTCTTGATTTCCCCATCAGAGCAATCGTTTTGTCTTTCTTTCCACAGGGCAGTCCAGAGTGTGTTAAGAGAACACCAAGGTGTTGGGCTTCCCTGATCCACTCCCTGCCATCAGAGCAGCCCAGCCCACAACAATTTCTAGGCTTCTCCTCAAATGACCTCCTTCTGCCTTTTCATGCTGCCCATCACTGCAATCACTGTGCCTACACACACATTCCTGCAGTGAACTTGGTGCTCTGCTGCATGGCAATGCCTCCAATAAAGCTTTACCTTTCTGCAATGCAAAGAAAACTCTGTGTCCAGCCCTCTGTTTGGTATATTCATACTGCATTTACATTTAGGTGGGAGCAAGCGAGATAAACCTGCACAGAAACATTAAGGTTGGGTGAATTTATGTACCGTGGACCCAAAGAAATGTGGGAATCCTAACTCAGCTGACATCTGGATAAAATCCTGGAGGTGAATGAACACGTCTACATTAAACTCAAGAGTGACACCTATGGGGAAGAGAAAGGGGTGGAGAACCTCTTTTTCACAGGTTACATTCCAAGGGCTGTGTGAGTAGTTCAGTAGTTCAGCAGCTCAACTGAAAAGTCAGGATCGATTACAAAATTTCATGAAAATTTTGTCAAATCAAAACCACTTTCCTTTGAGTCACTGAACAAGAAAACAATCCCACCCAGGCAGCCCTCTCCCAGCTTCTAGATGAGAGTTGTGTTTAATTTTGTTTGATAAAGCAAAGGGTCAGACCAGGAGATGAGTGAGGAGTACGAAAGAAGTTGTCCTACTAACTTAATGTTCAGTTGTTGGGATTATTCCTCTGCTGTGTTGGAAAATCTGGGCTCAGGGCTTTTAGTTGCTAGTTCCATACGAAGGAGAGTGTTTCCTTATTCCATAAGGCCATTCCCAGCTCCACAGGCTGTGCAAGCTTTGGGTGGAGGATGGCAGAGTGCAGGCAAGGTTCAAACTTCCTAACCAAACACATGCTCACGTTATTTGGGCTCAACAGAGGAAGAAAAATCGGTGAAATATTTCAGTCCTTTCAAACTTCCAAACTGCATTTCAGTGTTTGGTTTGCAGGGCTGAGGAAGCTGCTGAACAGGGTTGGTCACATAGCAGGGGAGTGGCTCCACTGCCACCCTGTCCCGGGCCCGGGTGGGTCTCACAGAGCTCATTGTTCCCTGAACAGCTCCTAAACCACCGACATTTCCTGTCCTGTCACACAGCTTTGCACTTGCACTTTGGTTTGCAAAGAGAGCAGGGTCAGGTAAAACACCTTCGTTTTGGATAACAAGGCAGTTCTGAGTTTAAAAGGCATCAAACTGTTCCATGTTACAATCCAAAGCTGAATTCTCAGCACAGCAGAAAAGAGATGAGTCAGAGAAACCATTTCCCTGGGAAACAAAGGAGGTTTGTAAAGTCAAAGCAGAAATCCCTGTCCCTGGAGTCTCCTGTGCCAGTAACAGACTCTGCTCTGCCTTTCTCTCCTTTTTACCTCTCCTATCAGCCAGTGCTGACTGCCCCAAACCCCTCAGCAGTAGCCAGTTATAATGACCTTTGGGATCAAATACCTTCTTCGGTCACAGTCTAACTAGGAAGAATGTTTGTGATCCCAGAAAGGAGCCAACTGTGTTCTAGGCTGTCTGTTGGGAACGTTCTCGAGTCTCCTGCTTCCCTTCTGCTCTTTTTTAGGTGGGGCACGCTTGCAGTGTCCCTGCAGGCAATGCTGTGGTTGAGCCCAGTTCAGCTCCACTGGTGTGTCCCAGGAACCACAGAAAGAGGTCCCACAGCTCCGTACCAGGGACAGGATTTATCTGTAGGTCTGGGTCGGCTCACACGGCATCCTCTGGTGGCAATTCAGGAAATATTCACTAGGATTTGTGACAGAAACTGTTCTAAGCAGTCTCCGAATTCAATTCCAGGCCCAGGACATGTTTTGGACAAGGAAAGAACAGCTTAAAAATAGTGAAATTGGTAGGTTTGTATTTTCATTTCACTCGGGAGGAGGGTGAAGCCAAAGGTGCTGTGTTTAACAGCCGGCCCTGCAGAGGGAGCTCGGTGCCACTCCCTCTTCCCAAGGCCCCAAATCCTGGGATCGTGGCTTTGCAAGGGTTTGAGGGGCTCAGTTCTAGCTCTTAGGTATGGACAGGTGCGACAGCCCACTGCTGCTCTTGGTGCCTTTGTGCACACTCCTGCCAGACCCTGGCACTCCTGGCCTCGAGGAAATGGGACCACAGAGGTGACAAGCGCAGATTTTCCACGAGGACCCAAGAAATGAGGAAAGAAACTCTGGCTCACTGTGCCTGTGACAAAAAGAGAGATGAGAGGAAGCTGCCCCTGCAATATTTCTCACATTTACCAGCCCACCATAACCATGAAAAATGACAGCAGCCAAGTTAACCAAGTACAAGAATTCTTGCAGGAAAATTCCTTTCTCTCTGTATTCCAATTAACAATTTCTATTCTTTCATACCATACACATTGGAGTGTTAATCCCAACAAACCTCAGAATTTCTGTAAGTATTTCCATGCTGTGGCTGCCCCATCCCTGGGAGTGTCCAGGGTGGACGGGGCTTGGAGCAACCTGGGCTAGTGGAAGGTGTCCCTGCCCACGGCAGGGGGAGGGACTGGGCGGGCTTTAAGGTCCCTTCCAACCCAAACCCTTCCATGATTCCATGAGGAAGGACAAGCACCCTCAGCCACACTGGGGCTGACTCTCAGAGCTGTTTTAGCAGCGCCTAAAGAGAGGTTTCTGCAGGCTGCAATTACCCCTAATAGCGCCGCTTGGGAGCCCACGCTCCACAGCTCCGCCAAGCTTGGCTCCAGGGAACACCTTTCCCTGGCACACCCCTGTGCTCCCAGCCCTGGCTGGGATCAAAGGCACCCACAGCCTCAGTAATCAACGTTTTCTTACAACATTCCCGGTGTTAGTTGAGTTCTTTCCCACAACCCGATGCCGATAATTACGGCGGTACCCAAAAGTTCACAGCGATCGCACCCACGCTGAGATTTTAAACGAATGCCAACTGCTCCTTTGTGCTGAAAATGTTAGAAATCATGTCACCAGTTTTTATGTTAATAAAGCTGAATCCATTAGGGAAGAGTGAAAAGGCACAATTCCAGTCACTTGCTTGGGTGGCCGTGGGCTGCCCAAAACACAGACAACTGGCACAGACCTCAGTTTTTAATGAGAGGAAGATTCAAAGCTGAACTGGGGTGTCAGAGGCTGGTGGAAAACCACAGCTCTCAGTTAAGATAACAGCCAGGAGTGCCCAGGGAGGGACCTGCCCGGTACACACAAACACAGGGAAAATGCTGCTGGTTGAAAGTGTCACAAACTGTTAAGAGCAGTCAGAAATGCCCTTCTCCTCCCCTAAAGGTGTGTGGTCAGCCAGGGTAGCCAGAGCCAGGGCTCCCAAGGGCGTTCTGTGGGCTGAGAGTTGCCATGAGAGCCACGTGTTTACAAACACCTCCCTGGCAGCAGCTCCCAAAAGCGGAGGCTCCAGGACTGGCCCTCGTAGAGCAACAGCTGGAATTTCTCACTGAGCCCAACAGAGATCTGGAGACTCCGAGAGTTCCTCTCAAGCAACACCAAGTATGAAACCGCCTGTAGGACTTGGGAAAGCCCAAATCCAGGGTTCCATCAGCAGGGTACTAAGAGAGCTCCTTGTTTTCAAATCCAGAACATGTGTTTAAGGCTTGCACAGTGAAATCTCAGCCTTTACTGGAAGCCATGATTAGAATATGTTCTTGTGAAATATATTCTTACGAAATTAACAAGAGAAATAACGATCTATAATTCTGTGAGTACAAATATGTGCATATAGACATAAATATATGAGCACATAGGTACAAATGACACACGTACAAATGTTTTACAGAATAAAGCAGCTCAGCCCTGCTACGAACCCCATCTACTCTCTGTCTGTCCCAAGCCTGGGATGCATTTTTGAGTAGGAATTTTCCACGTGGCCCGTGGGAAGATCCCTGTGATAGCCCCAGGCCTCCTCCCTGGCTGTGACTGCAGCTGATGTGGCCAGAGTCCAACACCCAGAGCTCCCCCAGCCCAGGACAGGCTCAGTCTGCTGGGGTTTGGCAGAGCCTCTGCGCTGCCTCTGCCGCTGCCTGCACAAACCTGACTTCTGGAACACATCCTCCCAGCCCTTGGATGCTTGGCTCTTAAATAATAGTTTCCAGCCCCATCATACCTTGCTGAGATTTACCAGCCAGATAACAGGTTAAAGGAAGTGTAAAAGTACATCCAGTGAGTTGTCTTTCACTCCTCAGGGCCTGGTGCCCAACTGAGCCTTCCTTCCCACACAATCTTTAATCACAAGATAATAAAATCTGTTTTATTTTCCTGTCTCAGGTACTTTAGTCCTTTATGTGCTTTATCGTTAGAGTTCTGGATTGATAAAGACTTTAAAGCTGATTATGTTTCTAGGGTAACAGGGACAACAATGAGGCTTTTCCACACCACAGCCAGTTTCAAGGATTTGCCAAGTATTTACACTGCTGGCAATTACTGAAGTGCTTGAGCTCTTCAGGATCTTTTATGTATTTTCCTCATATTAATATATTAAAATATTCTATAAATGGCTACCACTGAGGAATTGAATTCTGTATCTCTGCAGGAGTCTGGGCAGGAATGGTTCCAGTTCAGCTCAAATTATTGATCCATTGTTTCTCTTCTGCCAGGAACAGAAATGGCTTGTCCTGTGTCTCAGTCTCCTCATTTCTGTTAACACAGAACTCTTACATGACTTTATTTCTCACCTCTTTCAGTGCAGAAATTGTGGATTACCACATGCATTTCCCTTCACCCCATTCCCTCTACTTTGCAAAAACAGTCATTTTGAGCAGGTTCCCTCTGTTGCTCTGCTCTTCCCTCCCCTCTTCCCCAACCGCTCCCAGCCATGTGAGCATGTGCTGGGACCTGCCCCTTCAGCACAGAAACAGCCTTGTCTCTGAATCTGTTGGCACATTCAGGGAATATATGGCAATGCCAGCTTTGTGAGGATTAAGGAAAAAGATTAATGATGGGCCATAAAAGCCAGACAGGTGAGAAACGTATTCTGGGCAGACCTTGGCCACAGTTACCTTGCTACCAGCTGCAGATCAGAGCTTGTTGTCATTGGTTCTTCCCACAAGGAAGTTTAAAGAAAAAAATACGAAATTTTGTGCTTGAATTAAAAAGCTGCAAATGTTTCGTGCCTGTGGTCTTCAAAAGGGAAGAAAAACATCCCAAGTTGGGATCTTAAGAGGGCCTGTGACACAATTGGTTGGGAGGGGCAGCCAAAGTTTGGATGAGCAAGAGAAGAGATGGAGACTGAAAATGTGGATGTGAAAAAGCAGCACATTATCACTGATGGAAGCAGAGGCAGAAAGCAATAATTACTAGAAGGCACAGTTAAACATTTAAAAGGTAGATTCAGAATAATAACTCTACTATGCACTTTAATCCACGGAAGCATCACTGGAATTGCAGGCACCAACAAAGCTGGTTAAAATGTCCAGAAGTTCATTTAACTGAAACTGCATTAGCAACCCCTGGTAGCAAATACAGCACGGTGTAAGAAGAGAAAAGGATATGCCAGTGTCACTCAAGGGCAAAAAAAAAGGGTTTACAGGACAGTTAACCAAACTACTTTGAAACAACAAGAACTATTTTATAAAGCAGCAGGGACTGGCAAGGCAGAGCTCACAAAGGTAAAGCAGAACCCAGTCCCAGCCAGGAGCCTGGGTGTGACTGCATGACTTTGCTTGAAAAAATGTGTCTCCATTCCCCTCTGATAAGGTGCAGATAAAGGAAATTCCCTGTGCTGACCATTCCTTACAGGGGAAAGGCTGACCCTACAATAAATTAGGTTTATTTTACTGGGACAAAATGAGACCTACACCAAATGCTAAAAGCACATTCTTTCACTGGCCATAGTAAAGGTTTTTCCAAACATTTAAGTACATGTTCTCACCATAAAGGAGTCCCTACAAAAACAAACACGTGCAGTCATTGAGGTAAAACAGAGATGGAAGTTAGAAGAAAAAACAAAACCTTTCTGGAAACTTAGAATTCAGTTTTAGCACAAATGCTGTGTGAGGGAGTGATCTGGTGCTAGAAGCTTATTTGGTGGTACAAATCAGATTAATCCATTTGACAGTGTGTCCCAAGCCTTTCCTCTCTTGACATTTTCAGCTGCACTTCCAAACTGCCACGAAGACCTGCAGTTCATTCTTTGGGAGATTCTTCCCTGCCAGCCCAACCCACCATGCCTGCAGTACACGGTCAATATTCTGACAGTGTAACACATGGTGATTGCTGCTTTTACTCAGGGCTTGCAGAGGGAATGCAGAGGCCTTCCAGATCCACATTTTCATGAGTTGGATCATCAAACAGATGTACATTTCATTTTGCAAAACCCAAAGATACACTGCTTTGAGGCCTTGACATGGGAGTCCAGGGAATGCTGAAGGAATACCTAAGGGGAAGGACATTCCTTTCTCCTTGCAGCAGGAGATAAATCTCAAAAAGGCCACACTGGGATTTATTCTCCTTTCATCTTCTTGCACTTCTGTTCAGTGGAGAAAAGCACATGTACTGATGCTCTTTATGCTCTAACTATGGACTTGAATATTAAACAATAAAATAACTGTTCTCCTGCAGCTTTATCTCTGTCTGCAGGCAGACTGCAGCCTCCTGACACCACCGTTCACCTGTTCACAGCCCTTGGAACAGTTACTGGCCAGGCAGGTTTGTCCCACCCAGGGCTGAACAGGACATTCAGGTCCCTGGGAGGAAGGACTGTCGTATCTCTGGCAGCAGCAGTGGCCCCGTGGCTCTGAGGAGAGGCTGCACAGCTTCACTTCCCTACAGAGAGGAGAGAACTCAGCTCCATGCCCAGGGCTGGAGTGTGGTACACATCCTGTGTGTACCCAGTGACTTATTCCATCCCTGAGTCACTGCCCAGTTCCTGATGCAGGTGTTACAGGTGCCCTGGACGGCCTCCTGTGTGCTGTTTGTTCTTCCCCTCCCCGAAGCGGCCCCGCAGTTTGATGCCTCTGTACACAGGGAGTGCAGCCCCATTGTGTGACCTGAAATACCTGGAGCATTTTTCATGGGCATAGAAAGGCCTGGCTGCTCCTGAGAGCTGTAAATGTTGCCAGGACAGCACTCCCTCTTTCTCCAAAGCACTTCTGTGGAGATCCAGAGATATGAAGGGAGTGAGAAGGAAGGAGAATGGAAGGAAAGCTCTGATTATCCCCTCGTGTGTTAGGGATGCTTAGGGAGGAGCTTGCAGTAACAAAAGCTTTTGAAAAGCCATCTTGAGTAACAGAAGACCTGAAAATTTTAGAAATAACATTTTCACTACTCTCAAAGACCAGAAGACTAAGTGGTTCTGTTTCTTCTCTTCACTTCTCTCTTTGAGCAGCAATCAAAGGACTCAGTGTATAATCAGGCACTTGTTTCTCCTCACTCCCCAGGTACTCAGGGATGTTAATGCTTCTCTTTACCACAGATGCAGCCATGGTTGCTTCAGAAGGATTCTTGAGTCTGCAGAGAAGCAGACTCTCAGACACAGCAGGTTCTCTGTCAGCCCAAATGGAACAGGGACCAAAGAAAGAAACAGAGAAAATGTCACTTCTGAAAGAAGAACTTTTCTCAAGGGAAATGAGGAAAACAGCGGGGTGGGTACAGGTTTTATCAATGTCTACACACCTTGTTCACCATTTGGGCTCCTCTCAAGCTCTGTTATCAGGCTGAATCACTCAGTTAAAACTCTTTCATGAGATTACACCAGAAAGTCATTGTGTGAGTCCCTGTGAGCGCAGTGCTGGCGCAGGGGGGCTGTGCACTCCCAACCCCTTTGTTTCCACTGCAGGTAAACTCTGACCAGGTTTAGGAACGCTCCCCTCGGCACGGAGACGCCTCCTCCAAATCCCACCTTCAGGAGGCAGCGGTCAGGGGGAGGAATCACCTCCCGTGTGTGGAGAGGTGTTTGGGAAAGAAACAGCCCACTCCACAGCCACTGACCAATAAGGGAATTGCCGTGTTGGCAGAGGGCTCAGGGCCGATAAATAAATTCCACGGGTCTCAGATAACACATTCTGGAGACAACTCCCATTGTCCCTGGCTTAAAAGCAGTGGGGTGGGGGGAGCAGGGCACACTCCTGCCCGGGGATCAGGAACCTGCGCGTGCAGCTTGGCTTGGGTTGGGTCCTTGGTTTTCCTCGCCATGGCCAGTTACAGCTTCAGGCAAACCAGCTCCTCTGTGGTGGGGGGGCCCTTGGGCTCCTCGCTGCGGTTCGGCAGCTTCAGGGCCCCCAGCATGCACGGGGGGTCCGGTGGCAGGGGCGTCTCCGTGTCCTCGGCCAGGTTTGTCTCCTCGGGCCTGGGAAGCGGCCTGGGGGGAGGCTACGGAGGCAGCTTCAGCAGCAGCTTTAGCTATGGGGGCGGCCTGGGAGGCGATGGGCTCCTCTCGGGGAACGAAAAGGCGACCATGCAAGGCCTGAACGACCGCCTGGCGTCCTACCTGGAGAAGGTGCGAGCGCTGGAGGAGGCCAACGCCGACCTCGAAACTAAAATCCAAAACTGGTACCAGAAGCAAGGGCCGAGCCCCACTCGGGACTACAGCCCTTATTTCAAGACTATTGACGACCTCCGAGACAAGGTAGGTGTTAATATTTACCCCAAACCGTCTTTGATTTGCACTTAAGGAGCACAGCACGGAAAACCCCAAGAGCAAACCTTCCCCAGGGAGCCCCCAGAGGGCCTTGCAGGGAGATGAGATGGGTGTGCGAGGGAATGGGAGAGGTATAAAGAAAATGTCAGTGGGGAATTACCTGCTTTTTAAATGTTAGCCAGGACAAAGGCACGAACCAGTCAGTGTGGGATGTCTGAGTGCTTAACTCTCTGATAGTGTTTGCTTTTGCACACACACACACACACACATATACACACATGCTGGTCATGTACACACATATGACCAGTTAATGTATATATCACCATATATAAACTGATCATTATAAAGAGAACCAAGCAGCCTGCCTCTCTCTGTGCTTCTCACCTGCCATAAAGCCGTTAGAAAACCATTAGAGGCCCCAACATGCTGCTTTAACAATGAAAATAAAAATGGGTTAAGGACAATTGTTCTTTCATGTTTCCCCTACTTAACCTTGGAATTGAGATAAGAGCACTGAAACATTTGGCATAGGGAAGAAGGAAGCAGCAGACACCAAGCAATCAATGCCGTATATAAATGCAGGATTTGCCCCAAGAGCCCATGGGTACCTGATATCAGATTGCTGAGGTGATACACACCCTGCAAAACACAGACAGTCGCTGATTAAACTATGTAAATAAATCAAAGAAAACTTGAGGTTTGGTTTTCTGAGTTCAACCTGGAGTTCACGACCGCTCCCACACAGGTTCCTGCTCCTTGCTGCAACCCATCCACATTCTCTCCCAATTTAGAATCTGAGCTCTGCTGAAGGCAGAACTTTTTCCTTTTAGTATTCTTTTCCCACCTTTCTTTCACTCCCCGTCATGAGGAGAGGGAAAATGTTGTTCCAGATGTTTTTGTGGCTGACCTTTTGAGTTCTAGAAGTGGCAGGCAAAGACATGCTTTCCAGGTAAAACTAAATAAACAACGTTTTCTTTAGATGCTCTCATGATGCATTAAAAGAATAAATAAACACTATCCTGGGTGTTCTAGGAAATGAAAATGTGTTCCAAGATGGTACCTCTAAGTGCTCTCCCCCTCAGCCAGCCTGTAGTTTTGTCTCACAGTGGAGAGAGGCTTGAGAGAAGTGGCTTTTCTGCCTAAAGCCACTTCACACACCAGACACAAGGATGTGTCCAAAGCTGCCAATCCTGGCAGAAGTCCGTGATAAATCTGTGCCATGTGTTTGCTGCAGATCATTGGTTCTTCCCTACACCTCTGTCTGCAGTACCTACAGAGGAAATAGAGTCTTCTCTCTTATCTGTAGAGCAGGGAGGCAGTTTCAGCCTCAGCAATGAGCTCTCTTTGTTTGCAGATCCTTGATGCCACCATTGACAATGCCAGGATTTTGCTGCAGATTGACAATGCCAGGCTGGCTGCCGACGACTTCAAAACCAAGTGAGTCATTTTGGACAGGGTAAAGGTCTCGTGAGTAGGTAAAACCCCCTGTTGAGCCAAAGGGCAGTAAAACAAGAACAGAATGGCCATAAAACCCCTGTGTGAACACCGATTTGATCCTGCCTGTGCAGTTCAGCCCTGTGTGTATTTACTAAAAGCACCATCTGCACCACGCAAATCCTGCAAACCCAGACACATTCACATAAAAACAACGTGTTTCTTGTGGGCTGGTTAATCAGCGAGCCTGAATGGGCTTGTTTTGCCTCCTGAAGGTTTGAAACCGAGCAGGGACTTCGCCAGAGCGTGGAGGCCGACATCAACGGCCTGCGCCGCGTCCTGGACGAGCTGACCCTGTCCAGGGCCGACCTGGAGCTGCAGATCGAAGGGCTGAAGGAGGAGCTGGCTTATCTGAGGAAGAACCACGAGGAGGTAAAAGCCAGGAAACACATTTGAGAGTGGCACTGCAGAAATGTGGAGTCCCTCAGGAATTGCCCTGGGGTCTCCAGCAGTGAGGAGAAGATTTCCCTGGAGGCTGGGACCCCCGCCAGTACTTCAGGGGAGTCAGTCAGCCTTAGCTCTTGGTAAAAGAACAGAAGGTTCATAATGTTTTCAGTGATGATTGTGCCCTGTTTTGTCTCCTCTGCCATCCCCACAGGAGATGAGTGCCCTGAGAGGACAAGTAGCCGGCCAGGTCAGTGTTGAACTGGACTCTGCTCCAGGCATTGACCTGTCCAAGATCCTGGCGGATATGAGAGACCAGTATGAACAAATGGCTGAGCAGAACAGGAAGGATGCTGAGGCCTGGTTCCACAGCAAGGTAAAACCCCCTCCGTACTGTGCAAATACTGACCAAAAGAAACAAGTGCTAAAAGGCACAGAAAGGTGCTGTGACAGCCCTACACGGCCCGTCCTTCTCACGTGGCGCTTTCCCTGTCTCAGACCGAGGAGCTGAACCGGGAGGTGGCCATTAACACCGAACAACTGCAGAGCAGCAAGTCCGAGGTCACCGACCTGAGGCGCAGCCTGCAAGGGCTGGAGATCGAGCTGCAGTCCCAGCTCAGCATGGTACGTCCAGCTCTGCACTGCCTGACCCCCCCTTCCACTGACATGTTCACTGCCCTCCCTCCCCTGGGTCCCGTGCGTGGCACCAGCCCCTCTGTGGTTTCCCCCCTGGCAGAAAGCGGCCCTGGAAAGCACCTTGGCCGACACCGAAGCGCGTTACGGGGCGCAGCTGGCGCAGATCCAGGGGCTGGTTGGCAGCATCGAGGCACAGCTGGCGGAGCTCCGAGCCGAGATGGAGCGCCAGAACACCGAGTACAAGATCCTCATGGATATCAAGACTCGGCTGGAGCAAGAGATCGCGACCTACAGGCAGCTGCTGGAGGGCCAGGAGTCGCAGTAAGAACCTTTTGCCTGACCGTGCCACTCACTTGCCACAGCACCTCTGTAAACACACCTGCCAACGCTCCCTGGGTTCTACAGTTTGTAATAAATTAATTGTTCTGGACCCCTGGTGGAAGTAGAAATGTTACAGCTCCTGTTCGCATGAGAGGTTCTGAAGGGGAAGGCAAACTGGCAAAGCAGCACAGGAGATTAAGTGTAGCTTAACAGAGTGATCAGCTGCTCCACAGCCAGGAAAAGTGAAGTTAATGGTGTTTTACAAAGCATAAAAATCAAGAACAAATTCCCATAAACTTCCTGTTACCAGGCAGAGAGCTTTTACCCCCCAGGAATCGGTGTGGAAGGAAATACTGTGAAGAGAAGTGAAGGCAGCCAGGCTGGCCCTGCTCAGCCCCTGAGTCACCCCACGCAGGAGCACAGCTCACTGTCATCTCACACAGCCTCCAGGAGGGAAAAAATGAGGCAGGGGTGGAAGGGGTTTTATTTCTTCTATTCCTCCTTTTCCATAATTGCCTTTTCCCTAAGCAGTTGTTTAAAAATACATTTCTTACAACAACGGCCTCCCCCTGGCTGAGAAGGCACGCAGGGAGATGGATATCCCTGCTCTGACTGCACACACAATGTACCTGACTGACAGAGAATTTGCTTGTCTCACACAGCATTTCATGTGTTAACTCTTCTTTCAACTCTTGTCTCTTTGTTCCACAGGATGTTTGGCTCCCTTTCGGGAACTGCTGGTAAGAATTCTTGCTCTTTCGGGATAAGCTTTATTTTATAAAAAGAAATACACATAACTCTGGTAGTTTGGTCCATTCTAGAGATGGGTCTGCATTGATTTACCACAGAAAAAAAAATCTAATAAGTAACAAATGGTGTCTCTGGCTAGAATTGAACAAATTTCAGCCATTAAAAGATGTCAGACATTAGGAAAAAAAATCCCAGAGTCTGCTACGGTAAAGGCAAAGTAAAGCACAAAACACTTAATCATTTCTCCAGATGAAAGGACACGGGAATTGAAGCTTGGCCAGCATGGGGGAATTGCAGGAACATGCCACTAAAACCTGCCTTGAGCTGTTAGAGGTCAGCAGTATCATAAAAGGGATGAGTCAAATCCAGGAGATGGAGAGGAAAAGTTCTGAGAGAAGGGAATGAGAGACGAGACCCAAACCAAGCTCAGTGCCCATCACAGAGTGGGCTCGTGTGAACTGGGCTTAAATAATTGCTGTTCCTTCTCTCCATGTTATTGCAGACAAAAGAGACAAGATGGGAGGTGGAAAACAGCACTGAGGATCCCCAAAAGATCATCTGCAAAGTGAGAAAAGACAGACAGCACACAGAGATTGAGACGGAGAGGAATCACTCTGAACCGCTGGAAACGACTTTTAAAGCACAGAAAGTTCTTGGGCACACAAAGTTTGGGCAGATTCACTCCCAAACTGGTGATTAAGTTGCAAACAGAGTCAACTTTGCAATTATTTCTAGGTCTTGCATGTACTGAATTGCTGCATCTACTCAAATAAAGATGATCTTCTTGCAATCTTTGGAGTTACTGTGATATTTCAGTGCAGTCTGGCTTTACTCAGGCACGAATGAGCCAGGCAGCCTCCCTGAGAGGGGAGTGCTCACAGTGTGGGAGTGGTTTGAGCTCCATCCTCATTCCTTCTGTCTCCTGTTGCTGGCAGGAGCTCAGAATAAGGAGGCAACAGCATCCCCAGCCCCTCAGTGGGAGACACCAGAGTGACTCGGGTTTTTAACTACAACACTCTGCATTCCGCAGAGCAGGGACAATGGGATGGGAAGTGATTCCAGAGAGCAGCAGGAGCTGGGAGATGTTTCATTAGGGTAAAACATAAAGCTGTTAAACTGGGTGGTAGAAAACTCCTATAGGAACAAACAGGGTGAGCAGCAGTTGGGAGGATTCTTCACACAGAGGTTACCAACCTTTATCACCTATTTCACCCCCTTTGCTGTCATGCCGTTGAAGGGATATTATCCCAGCATAAATTCCAAATGGAATCACTTTCCAGCCCCAGAAATCGATTATTTCATTTCCTGCCACCCCTCTCCAAGCTGACAGCTGAGGAAACTTTTCAGGGTTTGTGCTAAAAGCAACCCATGGCTCCAGCCCAACCAGCACCTTCCAGCTCCTGCTGTCACCAGAGGCTCCTCAGCTGAGGGGGAGTGGGAACAGGGATATGCCCAGACTGAAAGTATGGATTCTTCAGGAGCTCACCAATTTCTGCAGGTTTTGCTTTGGGAAGAGCCAGGAGAAGCAGCTTTAAATGCTTCAGCACAGGCAGTTCCTGAGTGCTGACACATTTGCTAATACACACTTTGTACCAAACTTACTCCCTACAACAATCAGACCTGGAAACCCCCTCAGAAGACAGGACAAGCAACAATGTAGGACAAAAATCAATATCATTTTATTGATTTTGTCCCGTATCTGCAGGGCAATGAAGGATTTCTGATGAAATGTTTAATATAAATCAAGCAGACACTATAATTTTAGAGCCTGGTTCAGAAAAAAAATTTTTTTGAAAAGGTATGCCAAGTTCTTCTCTGATTGATGGGTCTATCACTCATAGAGTGATCACTGAGATGACAAACAAGCTGCTGCTTGACTGGAACTTGCTGTCCTGAGAGGAGGGGCTGGAGTGTGTCAGCTCGGTTAATCCCCCAGCAGAGGTAACAAAAGGGTTTGTGCAGCACAGGCATGTCAGGGAATGTCTTCCAGGAAAGCTGTGTGGAAGATGACAAACCAAGGAGCTCATGCACCACAGACTGTGCAAAGGACAGGTCTGTGTGTCAAGGCACTGGATAAGGAATCTCAGAGCAAGGACAGTGAGACCAGAATAAAGGCATAGACTGGAAAAAGGGCTCTTCTTTCACTTCAGCAGGTGATCAGCTTCTTGTACAGACCGTAAGGAGAAGACACTGTAGAAATGGCTGTCTGAATGATGTTATAGGACATGACCTGGAGTGGCTGTTTGATTATTTTTAGTTTCCCAATGGTAAATATTAAGAAACAGCTTTTATCTGCTACCTCTTTCCTAAGTGTCCATCTGATCCTGATACAGAGTGAGGCCCAGGGCACATTAAAAAGCAGCAAAATGTGTTTCACCAGCAACCTACCAAAAGAGTTATCAAGCCTGAGTGAAAGAAGACTGAATGAAAATTCCCCAAAGTTTCCTACTAAAGTTTGTGGTGTTTTCTAGAGGTCTGTTTGCTGGTTGTTTGGTGTTGGGGTTTTTTAACAGTATTTGATTTGCTTACTGTGCTCACTGGGTTGAGCAGCCCCTGGCAGCTCACACACCTCGGGGCACTGACATTAGAGGGGTCTTAAAGAGACTTCTTTTATCTTTGGGAGGGTTTTTGTCTGAGCTTGTTTCCTGAGCCACCAACCCTTGGAGACACAGCGATCTGGCAAGGTATGCAGAGCCATTAATCTGCCCGGCAGCAAAACTGAAGGGCCGTGGCAAAGGGCCAAGTTCGGTTTGAAACATGTTTCCAGAGCAGAGAACACCCCGAGTTTCGTGCTCAGCCAGGAGTGAGTGGCTGTGCCCAGAGCCAGCCTGGCAAGGGACATCACAGCTGGACTTGGCCGTTCCTTCCCTCCCAAGTTCACATCCCCAGGTGAAAAGGCTGCTCATCCCTGCACCTGCAGCAACATCTCAACATCCTTCACCCAAGGAATGTCACTGCTCTTGACTATCTCACAAGCATTAATAAATTAACTGTGCCCGCTCTCCCTTGCGCGCTGATGGACGCTGATTGTTCCTCACACGGTGCCATGAATAGGTGCTTTTTCTCCTAAAAATTCGGACTCCAAAATCTAAATATTAGTTCCAAGCAACAGTCAAGAATAAGAACGTCTCAAATTCAATTCCAAAATTTTAAAGGGAAAAATGCGGATAGAGAATAACAAATAACGGTGAGATGAAGTGATGATTGCATATTTTTCAGTGAAAGGAGAATTTCACTTTAGCTTAGTTTTCAGATCAAGTTGATTTTCAGAATGTAGCCATGGTGAGCCTTGTAAACGAGCAGGTGGGGTGGGGCTGAACTCACTTTGTTTTTCCAATCTTAAATGTCAGAGGAGTAAACTCCAAGTTTCAGAACTATAGCCCGAAGAAAAAACACTCATCTGATTCATGCCTTTTGTTTAATTAAAAAAAGAAACCCCAAGCCCAAGCCCCTGCGATGTGCTGCCAGCGCCTCTTGTCAGGAATGTCATCATAATTGGCCTCACCTCCAGGGAGGAGGAAATTTGGAGGGAGGGCTGCAGTGGGGTTTGAGATCTCGAGGGTATAAAAGAGGCAGCGGGGCAGCGAAGGCACAGCCTCTCCTCTCTGCCCACGCCGCACAGCTGCCCTTTTGCTCCTTCCCTCTCTCCAGCCATGGCCACTTCCTTCGTGAGCTCTTCCTCCACCTACGGGGGCGGCTTTGGGGGCGCTGGGGGCAGCTCCCGCCTGTCCTCAGTGCGCACTGGGGGCACCTTCCGTGCCCCGAGCATCCACGGCGGCTCCGGCGGCCGCGGCGTCTCCATCTCCTCGGCCAGGTACGTCTCCTCCTCAGGAGGAGGCTACGGCGGGGGCCTGAGCGCCGGCTTTGGGGGGGGCTACTCAGCAGGCTTTGGCGGGGGGGCAGCCTGTGGCTTTGGTGGAGGGGTTGGCTTTGGTGGAGGGGCTGGCTTTGGAGGGGGCTCTGGCTTTGGGGGCGGCTTTGACCTCGGCGGTGGCTTCGGTGGCGGCGATGGGCTCCTCGCCGGCAACGAGAAGATCACCATGCAGAACCTGAACGACCGGCTGGCCTCGTACCTGGACAAGGTGCGGGCCCTGGAGGAGGCCAACTCGGATTTAGAGGTGAAAATCCGAGACTGGTACCAGAAACAAGCCCCTACCAGCCCCGCCCGGGACTACAGCAATTATTACAAGATAATTGAAGATCTCCGAGACAAGGTGAGACATTCATATGCAGAGGAGTTATAATAGTTATGGAACTGCATATCCCATCTCTTTAACATAAGCTCAAACAATTAGAAAAGAAATACTGAATTCCTCAGTCCCAAATGCATAGAGGTCATGAGCATTCTAGCAGAACAGAGTGGCTTGTTTTCTATTTAAACACCAAATATCTTATTGTGACAGTGTGGTGTTTGTTGAAATCAAAATGTTCACATTCAATGTTAGCAAAATGTGGCAAAATGTATTTAGGTTTATCAATACGTTTTTTCAGGAATCAAATAGTAAAGAATGTGACAAGTAGGCCTTAGAGGTTGGAAAGGTAATTCTCCTGGCTACTGATAAGATCAGGGATTGTACAAATGCATTTCCTAATTATGGTTCTAATCCACGTTGCACAGAGTATCTCGACTCCCCGGTTTGCTCATGGAATGTGGATCCCATATTTCACCGTTACTCACAGGAAGCTTTCTCTGTGATTCTTAATTTCCAGATCCTTGCTGCTACCATCGACAATTCCCGGGTCATTCTGGAGATCGACAATGCCAGGCTGGCTGCCGACGACTTCAGACTGAAGTAAGTTCACCTGGGGCACATCTGTCTTCACTCCGCTTGTCTCCTTCTCTCAAAACAGTTTTTTGAAGCTTGATGTTGCTTTTTACGTAGAAAATACAGTTCTTCAGTCACTGAAAGGCACATTTTGAAATTATATGGGCAGGTATTTTTCCTTGGTAAATTCTGGTGCAAAAAAAACCCTGGCAAACAGAATCAACTGATGAAGGACCAATTCAGAATATAAGCATGACAGAACATAGCCTCCAGATCACTGAGCAATTTGCATAATGAATTATAGCCCAGTTCTTCATTTTTTTGTGATGCTCTTAACTATTTTTACTAGTCTGAGTCATGGGGGAAAGAAGGCAGGAATAGGTTGGGATTTTCACTGAGAAGGAACAGAGTGGCAGGAAGAGATTATTGTGGGGCTGCAGAAATTCTCTACCACAGAGCCTGAAATTTAGAAAAGAAAGACCAAGAGTTACATGGGGCTTTTCTACCCCTTGGGCTCAGCAGCACGTTCAGTAGATGATCAAGGTCCCTGCGCAGCTGCTTTCCCTTGCAGTGGTGCACCTGCAGATTCCTATTTTCCCTCTCATGTCCCAGGCAGCCCCAGGCTACCTGTGCTTTCCTCCACTGAAAATCCCAGAGGACACTGCAAATGGCCTGTCCTGTGTGACAGCATTTCTGTTGATGCTGATAATCCTCATTAGGTGCTGCAGGGTGAATGGTCACGTCCTCCTCAGGAACGAAATGAGATGACTGTTCCTGTGCCTCCATGTGCCACAGCTGGATGTTGGAAAAAAACCACGTTTACTCCTTTTACACCTCTTCTCAAACTATCTGTTTTCATTTACAGCCCACTGTTCCTCCTATATTTTATATTAAATGTGATAATTTTACTGCTGCACTGAGTACAAACTAGGGCATGTCCCAGTGCTTGTTTCTGTTTTGAACTGCAGGTACGAGAACGAGCTGTTCCTGCGCCAGAGCGTTGAGTCCGACATCA